AGACAGGAGGACAAGTTTTCAATCTTTGTCTGTTTAAAATTCTTGGCAGGTGAAAAACTCGACAAGCTGAGCAACCCCCGAAACATCAAGCCCCCTGGGTCAAAGCTCGGGGGGGCCATGTCCGGGCTGCAGATGCTCCCCGAGTGTACCCGCTGCGGGAACGGCATCGTGTAAGTGTCACATCACGTTGGAGCTGCCGGTTCGGTGGGGAGAGGAACGCTGGGACGCGGCTGGGTCGGGGCCTGCCAGACACGTGGGTTAGAATCACAGCGGAATACCCCGAGTCCCTTTTTTCTAACCGTATATAAACCTGGAACTGAAGAATCCGGTTTGCACTGCCCCTTTTAAGGGAATCTCGCAGCAAAGCGGGGATGATTCATGGGGTGGTTTCTGCCCTGCTTGTCACGGTAACTGCCCGGGGGCTAAGAACACTGTGGGGGGGTGGTGGCATGTTTTTGCTGCCTTACAGAGGGATAAATGCTTCAAGGGTCAAGTAGAAGAGGTCTGTGGATTTTTTATGTGGTTTTTTTGTTGTTGTTGTTGAAGACTTACTCTCCAATGGATGGATGTTGGGTCTGATTTCGGACAATATAGGTGTTTTTCTGCTTCACCATGTTGTAATTTTTGCTCTGCTGTAACTTACCTCCTGCTCAAGCCGAATTCACTGGGTTAGAGTCCTCTGCCCTGCAAATCCCTGTAACCACGTTGTTGCCGGTGCTGGGGGTGGAGGGTCTCGGCCCCAAAAGCTGCGGTGTGCAGCCCCAGCCCAGCCAGCAGCGCTGGGAGGATGCTGGATCCCAGCGTTCGGATCTGGGCTGAGCATAAATATTTGTGGCTCAGCTTTGCATCAAGGGGGATGTGGACAGAGGGGACCTGAGCATCCTTCCTGTGGAAACACGCTGGAGCCGCTTTGGGTGGGCTGGGACATTGGGATGGGCACCCACAGTAATGCCCGTACGCGCCCCTACATGCTGTTCCTTCGCTTACTCCATTTCACCCGAGGCAGCAGGGAAAGCTGTTTGTGCTCGTTATTTCTCCATCTCTCCCCTTTTCTCGCCAGGGGCACGATTGTCAAAGCTCGGGACAAGCTCTACCACCCCGAGTGCTTCATGTGCGACGACTGCGGGCTCAACCTGAAGCAGCGCGGGTATTTCTTCATCGAGGAGCAGCTGTACTGCGAGACGCACGCCAAGGAGAGGGTTAAGCCCCCCGAGGGATATGACGTGGTGGCTGTTTATCCCAATGCCAAAGTCGAACTCGTTTAAACCCCCGGCTGAGCTCTGGAGAGGTCGGGCGGCCGCGCGCCCACCCACGTCCTCCCTGCCGGCAGCGCGGGGCGGCCGTAATCAACCCCGATTACCAAAGCCCAAGTTAAAATGCCTTTTCCTAGATAAAACCGTTTACACTTGGGACCTCCGGGGGATGGTGTTGAAAGCATACGAACAGGTTTTTCCCTTCTCTTTGACACTCCGCTTTTCGGGTTGCTGTGCTGGGTTATTAGTCTGTGCTGTAACCTTATCCCAGATCTCTGTAAATATTGATTAATGCTCTACTCTGTTTCATATAAAACCAGTATTCTTTTTTTTTTTTTTTCCCCTCCCTCTTCTGAAAAAGCAAGGAAGATGTTTTAAAAGCTCAAAGAAAACAAGGCACTTTAACAAAAGAAGCTGACTCCTCTGTCCTGACCGTAACCTCCTGCCCTCTGGCTGCCCCAGCGATTAAAACCCGACCCCCCGAGGAGTCCGGGACGTGGGGTTCCCAGCTCAGCCCCAGCCCAGCAGACATGCCCAGGAAGGGCAGTCTCCTAAAACAGTATTTGCTGCAAAATTCCCTGGATCCAGGCGCTGCAGTTTGAGGCTGACACGGACTGATCTGAGCTCCCCAAGAGATCTCCACGCTGAGTGTGCGGCGAGGCTTTTTTCTTCCTCCTTTCTCTCAGTTTTTCTGGCATCTAATCGCCCGAGCATCGCCTTGAAAGGACACAGAAGCAGCACGGAGCCCACCCCAGCTATTCTCACCTCCTGTGCTCCTGCCCCATGGCTGTTCTTGCTTTGACCCTTCTGGCTTTGCTATATTTTCTTAGTCCTTTATTCCTAAATCCCCAGTGAGCCCTGGGTTGGGATTTATAACTGTACCCCAGGGCTGTGCCTTCAGCCAGGTCCATCATCCACTTTATTTGACGGGGAAAAGTTTTTGAGGATCTTGGGATGTTTCTTTGTTGGAGAAATGGGGTTTTTTTCATGTTGATGTATGGAGGAGAGAGAATTTAATCACCGTGGCAGGTGATGGGAGCCGTGTGTTGGGTACCACGAGGTTACTTCTGCTTTGCAAAGGCCTCCTTCCTCCTCCTCACTTGAGAGAGGGAGGATGTGGGGGAGAAAATGAAATGTCTGTGCTCACTTCCCTTCTGTGGAAAAGGTAAATAAGAGATGGGGCAATGGCTAAAGCTCTCTTTCCACTTCTGGCTGTCCATAACAGGGCTCTGAGAAATCTGGGACTGGAGGAGGCTGGGGGGCATTATCCAGGATGGGACTGGACGTGCAATTTCTTTCTACAGAGGGATTTTAAGATGTTACAGGGCCACATTTAAACTTTTTCACGTGGTGCTTTACAGGGGTTTAAGCAGCTCCTGCCCTGTGCCTGGCAGCCGGGGCTGTCTGAGCGTGCATCCCGGCTGGGTAGCGCCCGCGGTGGAGGGATGCTGGCCGTGCACGCTCCTGCCAGCAGCACAACATCCGCCTCCCCTTCCTTCTGCCAGCGGGATTTTTAATAGTTCAAGTGCAAGAAACACGTGAAATTTTTTATTGGAGCACAGAGCCTCCTTTTTGTTGTATTGGCATAGCCTTGCTCGGTGGGTTGGACCATCTGGAGGGGAATACCTGGGACAACTCTAAATGAGGAGGAGACTGACAGTCATCAGGTGGGAAGAGTCGCTGCCTCTGCTTGGAGCTCAGAAACATTCATCCTGAATTTCTCCATTAACCTCCTGCATTGCTCGGCCGAGCTCTGGTGCCCATAGCTTGAATGTTCAGGCTTCACCCAAACCCAGGACTGAATCCAGCTCAGTTTTCCAATGGCAAACTCATGACACGAATGGCGTGGGGGGCTTTTCCCATTTTCCAGGGCAGACAGCTGCAGCTCCTGTCCCCTGTTTGACTCCATCTGCATGGCAGGGATGCCAGGTGTCTCTCAGCACTGGCCCAGGGAACACCTTGGAAATTAATGAATTATTTATTTGCCCTCATTTTGAACACCTAAACGAGCAAGGTGCTGATGGTGGTCCCACCTGGCTGCTGCACCAGTACAGCACTGGGAGCACTGGGTATGGGGCGTTTAATTCAAAACCAAGTTCCCACAAATCAATTTTTCATGTGGTTGTCTCATGATGACCTTTCTTAGGTGTAAATCACCTCATTCCCCCGAGGAGCCTGAAGCTGGAGCTGCCTCGCACCCCCCACCTTGCTGATGCTACAGGGTTTGGAGCAGTAACACCATCTAACGCTGTAAAAGGTGGGGAGGGTGCCATTTGTATGAAATACCAAATAAAATTGTATTGTTGGTTTTACATCTTGCCTGACTTGGCCTTTGTCTCGTCCTAGCTGGGTCTCTCCCAGGGTGGTACCCATGTGTGGGGGTCCCTCCTCCTCACCAGCATGACCCAGCTCATCCTGCAGTGGTTCAGAGCTTTGCTGTGTCTGCCCCTGTATAAGGTCAGTGAATGGGGTTTATAGAAGCATTTAACCCACCATGGTGATGCTCCAAGTGTACCTTCTCCCAGCTGATGGCCCAGGATCCCACCCAACCACGAGCTGCTGGGGATGTCACCTGCCCTGTCACCCTGGGAGCCATCCCGGCAGCACACATGCTGGGAAACACCTTTCTCCCCCAGGATGCTGTAAACCACAGCATGGCCGTAAGCTCCTGAAAATCCCTTTGCACGGCACCAGCTGTGGCCCCGCTTGGGCTTGTGTCGTGAGCCTGGAGCTGTGACATCGGCATGGTGGGGGCAAAGTCGGTCCCACAAGCCCCGTCCCACCCCCTCATTGCTGGAACCACAGAAACCCACTGGGTGGTGGGATCAGGGGGTGAAGGGGGTTTAGCAACTGTATGATAGAGGTGTTGGCTCATGTAGCCAAATCTCACTATGTCTGGGTTTAATAGTCAATTGGTATTCAGTTCATCGGTACATGGCAAAGTCAGAAGTGACGTGGGGTAAGCGCCTCCAATGGGTATTTAATCAAAAAGGTTTTATTTAGAGAGCGTTCATATATGGGAATGGTTTGTATGTGCCTAAACTATTGAAAAAGACAAAGGCTCTGAGAACCCGCATGTGGTATGAAGGATTTTCATAGAGTTTGGGTCTGTGTAACTCCATGTCTAATTAGGGCACATATTTAAATAATTAACATGCTTATGCCTCTCCCCAGTTAGTGATTTTCCATTCACCCGTATGCATGTCGGATGTGTTTGTGTTACAGCCGCGGCCACCCCTGGCCCCTCTGCACCCTCTGCCCCAGGCACTGCTGTGGGACTGCAGAGGGGGGTACAGGATGGCTGGGCAGCTCTGGGGTCCCTCTGCGCCCCCCCTGCTCCCTGTGGCAGCCCCAGCCTATGGAGCAGCCGCCGGCTGACCT